AGTTTTTGCAGTGTGTGTGTGTGTGTGTGTGTGTGTGTGTGTGTGTGTGCATGTTTTTGCTACATTGTGGGAACCATTTTCCAGAAAAAAGCACCCTCGTGGGGACTGAATGTGCATTGTGGGGTATCCATGGGTATGTTAGTTTTAGAGTCAGGTGGGTACCTGTGAGGTTAATTTTAGGGTAGATTGTCAGGATTAGGCTATAAAATTACCAGAAAATGAATGGAAGTCAATCCACAGTCCCTACAGGGACATAAAAACAAACCTGTGTGTGTGCAGATGTGAAGAACATCCCAGACTGGAAAGACTATCTGATGAAGAAGATGGTGGGGACCACCACTCTACCTGTTGATTTTAATGTGAAGGTAACATTTGAACATTTTTAATGCGTGAATATTTTTCAGTATTTGTCGGCCTAGTATTAGGGATCCATATTGCCGACGTTGACACCTAATTAACACTTATTGTTAACAGGGGGTGAAGAGATACTACCAATGGCAGCGCTGTAGGAGGGGGACAATTTTTGGGGAGAGTAATGGGCCCACTTATGAGGCCCCCACTCACATGGGTTCTTCATCCATTTTCACACATCATAACCACCATAACATACTCCAAACCTTTGGTAAGAAACAAACCAGATCTCTTTTGGAGGAGAAACGTATGGAGGCATGCTCACCTGCCCAAAAAACACAGAAGAACCCGTGTAGAGGACCCATTCAACTGTTTTGGACAAACACAAAAGCATTTTTCATCCTTTATTTTGCTGGAGTAGTAAGGGTCTCAGAAGGCTTTTCTCCAAACATAACTGTATTTCAGACCTACCAGGACTCAGACAGAACCATCTGAGAACAGAACCCCCAAACCCTAACTGAGCAGTGTGCTCTTTCTGAGCTCCACAACCTGACATGTAACAAACAAACTAACATCTGAGATAACCTAAATTCTGAATATAAAATTGTTTTTTGCTTGTTTGTTTATTTGGTTACACACATGCTGGGCAGTTGGATATATTTGTCTAGTTTCCCCAACTTTTCAAACTGTTAGTTGTTCCTGAACATTTAGCTGTTTTTTTATTCCCTCTGGTCCAATTTAGAGTTTAGGATTTGCCTAACATTTTGGTAAAGCACCTTGACTTGACTTGTGTCCCCATCTTCTTTGCAGGATACAAAGCTCTGCTGAGATATGAAGGCTTCGAGCATGACAGCAGCCATGATTTCTGGTGCAGCCTGGTTTCAGGAGAGCTTAATCCGATTGGGTGGTGCGCCATGACAAGCAAGCTGTTGGTGCCGCCACAAGGTAGGACTTCTTTGTATTTCCATATACACTGCACAAAATGTCCACCTAACCAAGTTTTAAAATCTTATATCAGCCAAAAAGTCCTTTTGATCTTGTTTTGAGACTGATTTACCAAACAAGAACTGACTGTAAGAATAATAATATTGTTTTCAGAATGTGTAAGATTATTTGTCTTGTTAGTCTGAAAATTTGACTCAAATTAAGTCAAAATTTCTGCCAGTGGAGTAAGAAAATTTTCTTATTTTAAGAATCTTACCAAGTAAAATTTTCTCACTCCACTGGCAGAAATTTTTGACTTAATTAGAGTCAAATTTTCAGACTAACAAGACAAATAATCTTACACATTCTGAAAACAAGATGATTATTCTTACACAATCAGTTCTTGTTTAGTAAATCAGTCTCAAAACAAGATCAAAAAGACTTTTTGGCTGATATAAGATTTTAAAACTTGGTAAGATGGACAGTTTTTACAGTTTCCAACCAGAACATTTCTGAAGAAGATGAGTCCCACTGCAGCTTCTGCTCAAATTCTCACAAACATTAACTATACTGTATTAAAGTACAGTATAGTTTAACATCAGCGACCTGTTTAAACTTTGACTGTTTTCATGAACTTTAAAACAAGCAGTAATAATGTTCCAGAGATTCTTGACCTATGGGCTGCGGCCCACAATTGGGCCGTGAGCGCCACCTTGAGGGCCTCAAAAGAACAACAGTTTTTAACTTTGGGC